GAAGTGGAATTGTAGCTTAAAATGGTAGAGCTCTAGCCTTGAGCAAAAAGAGCTCACGGACAGTGCCCAGGTCCCAAGTTCAAGCCCCACAATCAAAAAAAAACGGGTGAAGAATTATACATTTATAACATGACTTTTTTCCATCACTTTTCTTCTTTATTTGCCTTTTCTATTCTGTGCCAGTCTTGGGGCTTGAGTTTAGGACCTAGGTGCTCTCCTTGGGCTCTTATTCTCAAGACTAGCACTCTACCACTTAAGCCACAGTTCCATTTCCAGCTTTTATTTTCTAGTCCTGAGGCTTGTGAACTCAAGGCATTGGCACTGTCCCCAAGCTTCTTTTGCTCAAGGCTAGAATTCTACCACTTGAGCCATAGAGTCACTTCTGGCTTTTTTTGCTTATGTGATACTGCGGAATGGAACCCAGGGCTTCATACATGCTAAACAAGCACTCTACCACTGAGCCAGCCCTCCATTTCCAACTTTTTTGGAGCTAGGAGTCACACAGACTTCCCTGCCCAGGCTGGCTTTGACCCGTGATCCTCAGCTCTCAAGTACCTGAGTAGCTAGGATTACAGACATGAATCACCAGTGCCCAGCTTGCCTTCTAGGTATCTAGCCTTTTTGATAGATGATACCTCTGCACCTTTCTATAAAGTCTTTAAACTTACTCTAGGATCAATTGTGGTCAGAGACAGAATGTTCTTCTCCCCAGAACATCCTTTCCTACTTCTTTACTAAAATTTCCCCAGCTTTTGATTTTCTATGTTCATCTGGAATTCTTCATGCTCCTGTCAAAAATCTTCCTGCTCCATCATCACCAGACTTCCTTAATAAGTTTCTGGTGAGTGAATTATATCAAAAGCTGCATAGCCCAGATAAATTATGCCCACTAGTTTGCCCTTGTCCACTACATTAATTCTCCTTGGGGCTTCTGACAAAACAGAGACACATACCTTATTCTAGATATATGATTTTCACCAGCTTGTTGGCCATGTCCCATTTTTCAGGCTGACACTTAAGAAAGCCCAACTGAGCTAAGGTAAGATTCAGTTTACATTTAGAGAAGCCAAGCCATTGCTTTGAATGACCCACATCCACCATAATGTCCTGAAAATATTCATTACTGATGATGGCGCATTCCTGTCAAATATAATTCAACTCCTTTTAACTATCCTCAGCAGTTTTCCTTGGCTATTTTTCTTGGTGTTGTAATAAGGCCCTAGAGGCTTTTACAATGACAGAGATCATAACAGCTACCATGCCAGCCCCTTCATATTACCAATAAAACAGGTGTTGATGATAAATTACATATTTATTAGTAGCTATATGCCCCATTCATCATTTCCTCCATGACAATGAAAATGATCAGCTCCTGGGATTTAAAACACATTAATATCATTCAACATATTCTAGTCCCTCCTTAAGTATTTCTTTCTCACAGCCTTTCCTTCCTCCAAATCTCTCCCTGTAAGAATAAGCTCCAAAAGAGGGACTTGTGTCATGCCTGTAATCCTAGCTATTCAGGAGTCTAAAATCTGGAGGATTAAGTTCAAAGTCAGTCTAAGCAGAAAAACTCTTGAAACTCTATCTTCATCTCCAGAAAAAAGCCAAGCTGGAGGTGTGACTCAAGTGGTAGAGCACCAGCTAAGCAAGCAAGCTGAGTGAGCAAGAGACTTTGAGTACAAACACTAGTACCACCAAAAAGAAAAACAAATAAGCTCCAAATTTTGTTATCCATCCCTTTCAACTTCCCCGAATAAAGTCTATCTAGAAACTACATCAAAATCACCAGGTGAAGAGCCAGAAACTTCTCTCTCCAACTGGCACATTTCTGTTTGTGTGTATGTATGTGCTTTAACTCAGGCCTGAATGCTTTCCCTGAGCTAGCATGTACCACTTGAACCACAGCTCCACTTCCAGCTTTTTTACGGTTAACTGGAGATTAAGAGTCTCTTGAGGGCTGGGAAGGTGGCTTGCCTTGCATGCATGAGGCCCTGGGTTTGATTCCTCAGCACCACATAAGCAGAAAAAGCTGGAAGTAGTGCTGTGGCTCAAGTGGTAGAGTGCCTGCCTTGAGCTGAAGAGCTGAGGGACAACGCCCAAGCCCAGAATTCAGGCCCCATAACCGGGGGAAAAAAAGTCTCATGAACTCTCCTCCTGACCATGCTGGCTTCAAACCACAATCCTCAGATCTCAGCCTCTTGAGTAGTGACATTTGTATTAGCAATGTTAGTTATTAAGTGAACAAAGTCAGAATGCATTCAATAAGCACCTGACTCCGATTCAGAAAAGCAATCCCATACAAAGAGCATTGTGCCAAATACTTCATACTTTTTTTTTTTTTGGGTCCGGTCATGGGGCCTGAACTCTGGGCCTGGGCGCTGTCCCTCAGCTCTTCAGCTCAAG